CGTCAACACCTAATTGAAATATATCGATAAACCGGACGTTGTGAATTGTGAAGGGAACCTACCTCCCCGATGGTGCGCACTTTGAAGTCCGTAGTGTGTAAAGTTACATTGGGCATTGCCACACTTTTCTTCTTGATGATAGTCGGGCCCGACATAGCGATATTTATCGAATTTTATTATCGTTATCTTTAGAACGTTGTGACACTAAGCCTTCTTGTTGCGATATGTGATGAATAGCGAAATACTTCCTCGTATATACATACAAACAGAATAGTGTTCCATTTTCCCAAGTCTCAACATTGTTCTATACTTCTTCTTCCATCTTTGTTTTAGTTTCACAATTGGTGGAGGCTATGTATAGGCAACCAATGTTGTGCACGGTTTCTAAACTAGGCCAATCAGTGTGCAAACAAACAAAGTTCATATCTGCGTTTCTAAGTGGTGAAATGGGAATCACCAAATTCGGCTTTGAAACCCTACCTTTCAGAACCCTAAAATGTATGTGGCTCACTCTATTTTTTATGGGGAACCTTTCTACAGGGATCTCCAACAACAGAGGCTTTTTTCTATTATGTATGTGTATTTATGTAAAAGCTCGTATGAAAAGATTATATGGTTATATGTTGTATGTGTGTGTAAATAGATCTAGCAACCCGTGGCAAGTGAGTTTAACTGTATAGTACAGTAGTGTGCATGTACGTGTATACGTAAACAAATACTCATTTCTCTATATATATTCCACGCCTGTTGATTCATTCTATATCCGTGCTACGATGGAAGACGAGGAACCCTTTGACCCTCTCGTGGAGTCAATTGAAAAACTAGAAGCTCAGTTAGGCCACACCGGGACAGATTTAGATGAAACAAGTAACAGCGAAGACTTGATAAAGCAAGGTACAAATACATTAGAGGGAGACTTGCTTGGACTTAGTATCGACTCTAGCAATGTCACAGCAACCGTCCCCGATAGTGTGGTTACAGGTGTACCAACTACTACTATGGGGGATGATGTAGACTTACTATCACTGAACGAACCCTCTCAAAGCACCGAACCCCATGCAGCGGCCAGCAGTACTCCTATATCCATAAGCGTTGGAGTAGTTACAGAAACAACTGGTATGGACATTGAGGGTATTATAAAGAGAGTTGCGAGTTCCATTAGTACCCAGAGTTCGGAGCCAGAGGAGATGAAATCACCCGAGAACGCTAGAAGTAGTAGCAGAGGTCCCAGCAAAAGCATTCTACGGGTATGTTTTTTGCAAGAGTAGGGGTTCTTTGGTCCGATTCAAAATAGACAATAGGTGATTATCACGTGAATTGTCTTGAAACTAATGCAAACTGTCTAATTCGCATGCGTGTTATTGATATATTCATGTTCGACTTGTTATCTTATATATACATAT